TTAAAACAATTAAAAAAAAAAAGAAATGGCGAGACTACTTTTATCGGTAACCTCATTGAGTACGTCACTAATTTAAAACAATAAAAATAAAGTCATGGTCGCCTAGTCGAGGTCACATTGTGACCCAAGATTGTAAGAGGATGATTGGATATAAATTTTTTTTGTTTTGTTTGGTTAAAGTTGGTATGGTTAGTTGTTAGTGGGTATATTAAAATAATATTTTACAAAAATGATTAAAGTTGATTTGATGTAGAGTAGGAGAGAGAAGATTTGAAGTGATGATTAGTTAAAATTATGTGAGTGGATGAATAGTGAATTAAGGTGATGTGGTGTGTAAGAACGATTGATTAATATTATTTAATTATATTGATACTATTGATGATAGTGAAGTTGAGTTAAAGTTGAGTTAAAAAAGTGGTTGAGTTAAAAATATTTGGAATTTTTGGCCAAAAGTTTTTTTTTTGTTAAAAAAAAAACTAAAATTCATACTTTTTTTTCATTTTCTACAAATAGATAAGATCACATTTGATATCTTTTGGAACGCAATTAGATTTTACAGATAAACTAAAATAAAATTAATATATAAGTTGATTTGAGTTAGGAATAAAAATAAAGTTATAAGGTTGAGTTGTATAAGTAGAGAAGAGAAAATAATTGTTAATATTAGGTTGAGTCGAGTTCAGATGAAGTTGAGTTGAAGACAGAGAACAATGTGAGTAATGACTTGTACGGAATCTTGTGATGATGAAAACATGAGACCATTGAGCAATATGGATTTACATCTGTCAATCACTGCGCAAGGAAGAGGTGTGTACAGTGACGCCAATAATTAGGCATCATCCCAAACAAATACTTGTACCATCCATTCCATCCCCATATAAATACTCTCAACATACACACACTATGCTACCATTGTCGCCGCTACCTAAAAGCTCAAACACTGTCCGCCCAATTTTCTTTTCTCAACAAAATTACAAATATTAATTATCTTAAATATTATTATCACTTAATTAAAAAGAAAAAAGGAATGGTGCAGAGTCTTTTAGAGGCGCTTAACGTCCGGGTGGTGGGCTCCGGCGAGAAGGTTCTTGTGCTCGCCCACGGCGTCGGCACCGATCAGTCGGCGTGGCAGCGGATCCTTCCCTACTTTGTCCGCGACCACCGCGTTGTCCTCTACGACCTCGTCTGTGCCGGCAGCGTCAACCCGGACTACTTCGACTTCCGCCGCTACACATCCCTCGACGCCTTCGTCGATGACCTCCTCGCCATCCTCGACGCCCTCCGCCTCGGCCGCTGCACCTACGTCGGCCACTCCGTATCCGCCTCCATCGGCATCCTCGCCTCCATCCGCCGCCCCGACCTTTTCGCAAAGCTCATCCTCATCGGCGCCTCCCCCAGGTATCTCAGTTTTATTTTTATTTTGTTCAATTATTAATTAATTAATTAATCAATTTGGGGGAAAGTGTAGGTTCCTGAACGACAAGAATTACCACGGAGGTTTCGCGGACGGGGAGATCGACACGGTGTTCGCAGCGATGGAGGCGAACTACGCGGCGTGGGTGAGCGGGTTCGCGCCGCTGGCGGTGGGGGCGGACGTGCCGGAGGCGGTGCG